CCTCCCCTCCCCTCCCTTCTCTTCTTTTCCTTTCAAGATAGAGTAAAACAACTTTTTCTACCTTTCTTTCCTTAGATTTCAAGTTGTATACTTATATGAAAGCTGACCAATTCTCTAGATAAATATATTATTAATCCCAACTTCTCCCTAAGTTCACAGCATGAAGAAGCCAATTTTTTAACCAGTATTTGACTCTTGGTTTGAAAAAATAATATTAATTTTCTGTAATCTTCTCTTCCTTGGACATAGTCTTTATTGAAATTATATACTGAAACATTTTCTTTGTGAAATTCTCTACTTGTTTATTGAAGCTGTGGAGAGTGGCCTACTCAGTAAAAATTGGTGGTAATGACTATCAGGAATTTGATTTTGATACACAGAATGCACTTTAAAAAAAATAGTTACAACTGGCCTATCTGTATTTATATAAATAATCTGCTGTTGACAAATTAATGATCATTGATAATTCTAGAGCCGCATATATAACCAAGCTGTATTTTTTACCAAATATTTATTAACTCCTTACATGAAATGTGTACACTCACAAAATACAAAACCCCAAAAGAGTGAGACACACTTCAGGTGTCAAGAGCTGACATCGCCGTGGGGCAGCCCAATGAACTGTACCTGAGAGGTGAGAAGAATGTCGATCTTGTGTCAAACCCAGGTCCTAATCTAGGCATTGCACAGATCACCTCGCCTACTTTTGCTTTGCTATTTCTGTATTATGGGGATAATTAAAAATATTGATCTCTGAGGCTGTTTTTGATCGACACCTTTGACTACCTGTGTATGCTTTTAATGTTAGTCAGAGAATCAGCAGCTGGGATGAAGCAGAAAACATGCTAAAGAGAGAATTTTTGGAAATGCTTTGGGAAGAGATGATGTTTGAAATACAGTTATGAAGTACTATCTAGTTAAGGTTTTAAGAGATAGATGCGAAGGCAGAAAAGTGGCAAGTTAAGAGAACTACATAAGGCAAGAAGTGAGAAAAAAGCGAATGTGTAAGAATAGCTAGTAGAATAGAGGTAGAAAACTGAAGGATTTTTATAGTTTATGGAGATAAAAGTAAAGACTTGTTATAGTCAGAGGAATGCTTTGAGTAAGTATATTAGCTAGTGAACTTTTGGTTGCAGGTGGTATAACCTGACTTATATGGGGCTCAAGCATGAAAAGAATTTATTAGTTCATGCTGTCTAAAAATCCCTAAGTAATATTGTATGTGAGCATCCCTTTGTAAATTTGCCTGTTTTCTTCTGTGCTGGCTTTATTCTCAGCTGTTGAGCAGATATTGTCATAGCCTATTCCCAGCCCTGCATTACTTTTTTCTTGCTAACCTAGATATTTTTTTCAGAAATTCACTTCTTTGTAAGAAAGAGGAAGTTTTTGATTAATTCCAACCAATTCTGTTGGCCCCATTTCCTTTGCCAGAAATTGTTTTAAGAAAGGGATTGTGCTACAATTCTGGCATATTGAGCCGGTCACGGAGACCTGCTAGGAAGTTTTCTTCAGTTTATAAAGTTGTTTCAAGAAAAAGGTTTTTGCTAGTCCAGGAAGTTACAGGACTATGTGACTTAGGGAGTTGCTATAGCCACTGTATTGCCAAAGGGTAGATAATAGGGGGAGAAACAGAAGAAACAGAGGCATGCTTATGACCTGGCGCATGCGTGGCAGAGGTGAGCCATGTAACCAACAACATTTGTACCCCCCATAATATGTTTAAATAATAATTTAAAAAATTGTAATAGGAGCACTAAAAACATCTAAAAGCTTTAGGATATGCTTTTAAGCTTCATTCTACTTAAATATTTTCAAAATTTAGACTAAAAATATGAACAAATTAAATTTTAGTTTCTATTAAACGTGATCGTACTAGAAATTAAAAACAGGAGATACATTGCTTATATGTCCCTGAAGAATTATTCACCCATGGATTTCATATCATGTAATTATCACCCATGGATTTCTTTCCTTTATTTCATAAGCTAGTTATGTCAGAATTTTCTGATTCTCACAAATGCATGCATTCTAGTGAATACATTCAGTCAGAGTAGGCGACCTAAGAGAAGAAGACTTCCTTTTCTGTCCCTGAGTACCAGTTAAAGTGCCGAGATAATTCCCGTTGGGGTCACCTTTGTTACATTTCAATTTCTAAGCCAATTTCTCTGGATCACGGGCCTACCGTAGGGCTCTGTGGAATAAGTGACATACCCCTATAAATTATCCAGACTAAAAGTGAGACCAGGAGGACAAGAGATGTTACCAAAATAAATGTGAATGGATTCTACTCAGGCTAAATCAACAGATGTCCATAATGGTAAGCTCCAAAAATGGTAAGCTCCAATTTATCAATAATAATAATTACTAAGCACTCACCTAGTATAGGACAGAGACTTTCTAAGTATTTGCACACACTATCTCTATCAAATCACTTTATAATTTCTGTTGGTGGGAAGCTTGGGAGTTGCTGAGGGGGAGCCTGAACTACTGTGGTTCTTCAGATTTCTCAGGTTGGATGCAGGTTGGATGCAGGTTGGATGCAGGTTG